TTTCTATTTTAGAAATGCAGCTCTCCAGATTTTGTTTTTTCAGAATATATCATTTGCAGTCAGTCTAGGCATTAGATCTTAGATTTTCTTCAAAATAAAGAGACAAATGAGCTACATGTAAAGAATTTCAGGAAAAAGGAATAGTAAGATGAACCAAAAGATTGAGATCATATTCCAGATCCATGAAAGACACAACTATATTGACCAATCTACTTTCCTTTCATAAAATAGAGGATAATTTCCTGGAAAGGAGCATAAATGATAATTTGTGGCAGACATTTTTCCTACTCTTGGAATTCACACAGGCATATTTTCTCACTGGCAGATACAGCAGTGTTTTCAACACATAAAATTAAATGACTGTTACTTTTGCCTCTTATTTACTACTTCATTATGATTTTATTAGTCTCAAAAATAACCCAATCATGTTTTATTAGGGGCAAAATTGCAACTTCTATTATTTATTCTAGTTTTCCTACCTTTTAGAAGAGGACAGCATTTATAAACCCATAATTACTAAAATTCTCTAAGTTCCACATTTCCTTATGAACATTTATTATTATCTTTAAAAATCAATTCCTTCAAAGATAAATTTTAAAGCTCTAATAAGAAAAATTATTCTTTTCCCAAACAAAACACTTTCCCCTCAGGCAGAGGGAATCACTTCCACCAGTTTCATCTAACAACTGGTACTTTCTCCTACTATGTACAACATTTATCACATTTTATTCCAACTACTTCTAAGTGTGTCTGCCTATCCTGCTAGCCTGTTTGCTCCACGAATTCAGGCCAAGCCCTATGTGTTCCTTCCCCATTTCCAGCCTAATCCAAGAACTTGGCATAGAGCCTGGTAAATAATGGACACCATGGTATCTTCTTCTAAAACTAATGACTAGACATATCTTGTCCATGAGCAACTGCTCCCCCTTCTAGTCATTTTCTATATTCATTTGTCTTTCATACTCCTATAAATACCTCTCCTAAGCAGTGCTCTTATTTACATGAAGGTATTTTTTATTGAGAGTTTAAAGTATAACCCTTCAACCTGACACACTATATTTTAGCAAAGTACTTAAATACATGAAATAAAATACTCTTGTGGACAGGATGTTTCCATTTTATTAATACAAGTAGGAAAACTAAAGCTACAAGGGATTAGAAATGTGTCAAAGGTAACGGCACTAGTAGTAGATCAAAAGGTTAGACACTAACTGAGGATTTCTAACTCCACATAGTATACTGTTCACTCCATCAAGCACAGAATTTTCAGTTAAATAACCTTTTAACAAAGCATCAGTGATACTAGAAATACTTACACTGACCCCAGCGCCCTGTTCTTGGATTCAAATAATTTGGATAAAGACCATTTGGACGATCCATTTTCTTAAGTAGTTTCCGAATATGCATGACCTAAGCAAAAAAATAAAATTAAGAATGCAATTAACAAAAATAAATGTCATCAAGGCTTGATATTAATCTAGGCTTTGTGTTGTTTCCTCACTCAGAACCTAAACTCACTCCCTGCCTTTTTTTTTTTT